TCTATTTTATTTTTGTCTGATTTTCTTTCCTTTTTTTTTTCGTTTATTTGTTTAAATATTGTAATATTTTTATGAGGTTATGTTTTACAAAAAACAATATTATAATTTATAATAAATGGGTGTTTAGGTAAAACATCCTGAAAATCTATAATCCTTGAACGTATAGGTAGGTATAGTATATAGTCATAATTGTTTCTTTCATGAATCATGAAATATTACCAAAATAACAGCAAAATTACCGGTAAATTACCACTGAGAAAGAACAAATGAAAATTACTGGTAAACTTCAATCTCTAGTTCGGCCTGTGATGTATTACCAAGCTATGTATTTGGTCAAAATTAGTTGTAGTACCCCCAAATTTAAATATAAAACACCGCATTGTCAATTCGGAGCTGAAACAGATAACACACCCTCATCATTGGCACAATTTATAGGTCAGTTAAAAATTTGTGATGACATGAGAAAAGATAGATATCATGAAGCATATTTCTCCTCAGGGCTTTATAAATGGTTCCACTATTCTTCCTTTACCATTTGAATGACATAGCAGGTCTATTCGCATGGAAATCACAAACCAGTCAGAGTGAATTTCATTGGTTGAAACTAATTTTCAACCATTGAAATTCGCTCTGACCGGTTTGTGATTCCTGTGCAAACAGACTTAACATCTGCCCTACCTCATGATACCTACTGTCACTTTCTACTAAGATATCATATCACAGCACCTAAGTTCATCTAGTAGGCTCTTGGCTTTCTCCATCATCAGTACTACTTGTCACGTTCCGACACAGACATTACAGATCTGCACACGATAAACAGTCACAAACAATGAAAAACTTTTCAAAATTCAAAATTTGAATTTTTTCGAAAAAAAAATCTATGGGGATATAAGCCTTCGATGGTACTTTTATTAGTTTATGTCATACGTCATTTGTCATTCATTACAAATGTCAATCTTGATTGATGGTCTAATTTTTATTTCGATTTGTCATTGTTTGTTTATTATATTTTTGACGTATCAATGGAAAAATTTAAACTTGAAAAGTAATTGGTGACGTCATATACTGGAGATAAAAAACAAAAAAAAAGTTATTCGATGACACAACTGCCAACTGCCAAAGTAATATGTCACAATAATTATTTACCCAATATTTGTATTTTTGCTCAAGCTTGACAGAGTCAAACGTCATTTGTCATATTATTATTGGAAGCGGGAAATTCAATTTTTTTTTCCTATTCCCGGCTCTTGAATTTTATAGTTTTCAATTAAGCTGATTATACAAGATGGCGACGTGGGCATAACAAACTAGTGCTTTTACATTCAATTCAAATCGATTGCAGTTTGAATGTAAACGTGCCTTTATTATGGTTGTTAGGTGTGTTATTTCCACGCCGCCATATTGAATTAAAATAACGTCATTTTCAGCCATTTTATGTAATATTTAAAAATAAATTTTTTAATCGATTTTAGGCACTTGAAAATAGTCTATGAATTTCCAGAAAAAAAAAAAGTACGTTTGTCCTTGTTTGTTGCATACAAACAGACAGAGACGAAACACGATTTGAGGCCTTAACTGATTGACATTTCTTTCTAATCGATGGCCTACTGTGTTAATTATTCGACGTCATTGTTAATTTATTATATTTCTACCTATCAAGAGTCAAATTTGACGTTGACACATAATTAACATTTAATGTGTCAGAAATGTGTTTTTGATTGGTCGTTATTTGTTTATTATTTTGGACGTCAAATGTCATCTGTCACCCATTGCAACTACTATTAATGTCAATTTTGAAATTAATCGTCTACTTATTTTTTGCTTCGATGTTGTTGCTTGAATTTGACACGTAATTTGATGACGTCATAGATTCCAGATGTGTCAAATGCCGTTCGATAACACAGCAATTGTCACTTTCAATTGATGACAACATTGGTTGGTCACAATTATTTGTTTGACAGAGACGGACCATGTGTCAAACGACATTTATTCTATTATTTGAAGCGGGAAATTTACTGTCCGGTAGTATAGGCGAAATATTCGAATGCGAAACGTCATTTGTCAATTGTCAACGTATACTACCATTTCCGATTGGTAGGTACATTTTTTTTGCTCACCGAGTGTATTTCCATTTCTTTCTTTCATCCTGCTAAAAAGAAACAAGATTTTCTTTTGCACTAATTCTACCAATCAAAAACAATATAATATTGATTCATTCAAACGTCATTTGTCAACCGTTTTATTTATATCATTAGTTGACAAATGACAAATTCAACCGGTTGACAAACTTTACCAATAAATTACCGAAAAGTGACACATTAAGTCCTGTCAACTGTCAAAAAAAAAATAGTTGTTGATATTGTCAACAATGATTGAATCAAGTAGGCTTTGGATGGATGTCGGTATTACAGGTTGCGTACAAAATTTTATTCAAAACTTGCAAATTTTGATTATTCCCGGCTCTTGTTGTCACATGACGTACGACATTTCATTTTATTCGATTGGCCAGTGAACTCAAACAAGTGAGATAGCGATATTGTAGGCGGAATGATTAAACAAACGTCAATTGCCAGTGAGAGTTTTGGGACCAAAATCCTATTTAAAATGATGATATTTTCAAATCTTTCGAGATTATTTCTATCATGCGGCAACGTCGCTTGCTTAATTAAGCAGGCCTTTGAATAACATTGGGGTCGGTAATACAGAACTCTGTAATACTTTTGCACTGCTAAAAGAACTGACAACATTGGGTCAGTAATACAGAAGAAGTAATATTTTGAGGTAACGTACAACATTTTATCTATATCTAACCCATCTGGTCACCAATATTGAAAAGTAGACGATTGATTTCGAGATTGAAATTACAACTTTGACAGTTGCAATAGATGACAAAATGACATTTGGTATATCGTTCATCTGTCTAAATTGTAACCAACGAATGACGTCAATTCGACTAAACGAATAAGTGACTATTTTGGTATGACGTCACGCTGGAGGGCAACCAATCATTTTGTTGTCAAATTTAAAGCGAAAAATGCCAAAATAATGTCATTTTTTTTTTTTGGTTATAAATTAATGTTTGCCCTCCAGAGCAAATTGTCATTAGTCATTTATACTGAAATCGGTCAAGAATAACAGACACTTTAAGGTGAATTCTAACGATATCGAGTGACATCTATCATTGAATTACATGTGACATAGTGACGCCAAAAGTGGCAATAATAAACAATAACTTTGACAGTTGACATCTGGTCATATGTCGTACTAATAAATGTGACAAGTGACATTGACGATTAAAAAACGAAATACTTTGTACTATTTCCTGTCATTTTACAAGTTGATTTAAATTATTTAGCGAATTCTATTGTGTGTCTTTTCTATCAGCTTGTATAAAATAGAGATAGAAATACATTTTTTTTACATTAAAATAATTGATGTAATTATTGGCAACATTGCATTAGTTTGTAAATCACTTTTGACAGTTGTTTAATTGACAATTGACAAAAAAAAAAATCAATTTGGTGTTAAACAATCAAACTTATAATCGTTCTTTGATCAGTCTTGACAGCTGTCACTATTTTGACAAGTTTGTCAAATGTCGTTATATATCAAAGTCGAAATGCTGCGTTGCAAAACTGTTTTTTTCTCCATTTTCAATAGCCGATTTTCATTAAAATTGGAAAAGAATTGATGTAATTATTGGCAACATGGTATTTTCTATAAGTACATATAAGAGTTTTTGTCTCATAATACGCACGAATGTTTATAAAATCCTCACTCTTTGGGTTCGGAATTTAAAAAAAAAAACCCGGAGTTATATGCGAGTCCGAAAAGCTGGAGTTATACGAACCCGACAGGCCGAAGTTATTTTAATCATGAGGCCGAAGGTCCGAGGTTATACGAGCTTGAAGGGTCGGAATTATACGAACCCGTTTATTGTCAACTGATTTTAATACTTTGGCTCTTCGCATCGTAATCTTTGAAACAAAAAGACGCCATTTTATATCGACTGTCAAAAAAAACCAAGGCCTACTCTGATATTTCAATTTTTTGACGTTTGTTGTATCATGAGCAGCGTTGCCATATGTTTTTATCAAATTTCGATTTATAGGTTATCATTGACATTTCTGAAAAATATTTCCTTTAAAATTCCCAAATATTCTTTGCAATTCCCAAAAAATCTATTAAAATCTCAGAATTCCACAATTTAATGGAATTTCGGTAGAATAATTATGTTATTCTGAAAAAGGAATAAGATGTGAAATTTTCATAGAATTTACATTAAATTTTAATTCCTCTCGAATTACTTGAAATTTCAGTGAAATTCCGATCGAATTACCCAAAATCCTAAATGAATTACATGGAGGAATTTTAAACAATTACATGAAATTCCCAACATGAAATTTCAGTTTTTACTGAATTTTAGTAATGCCGAGGAATTTCCAGCTAAAAACATGGACTTTTGGTGATATTTTGAAAAATTCCCACGTAATGACATGAAATTTCAATATATTTCGATGAATTTTTAAGAAATTACTTGAAATTTCATTAATATTCCCAGAAATTCCTGGCTATTAAAAGAGAATTTCAGTGAAATTCCGAAAAATTTTTATGAAAATAAATTAAATTTTGAAAATTCCTTGAAGTTTCATTGGATTTTCGGGAAATTTTCGGTTATGAACGTGGATATTCTTATAAAATTTTAGTGAATTCCGAGACATTTTTAAGAAATTACATGAAATTCCAAAGAATTTTATGAAAATTTTGTGGAATTTCAGTGGTAAAATTTTGAGGAATTTTAGTAAAGTTAAAAAAACAAAATATGGAATTTTGAAATTGAAATCTTAATGGAATTCCTTTATGAAATCCTATACTGTAATTAGCCTCCTCACTTGAAATAGTCACGAGCCGCCACTGAATACACCTAAATCTTGAGTCAACAAAAGCATAATTTACCCCCAAAATCATCAACAATCATTCACTAAACTCTATATTTCCAGGCTTGGTTGGGGCGTAGCAAAACTAGTCGGTTTCCTGCAAGACATCGAAGTAACAGGCGACAAAGACGACTCTAGATGCCTGCACATCACTATCCACAGGCCAATATCAGGAGCAACCACCAACCGAGTACCCCTACTGAGCGCCAAATTCCTATTCGACGATAACATCCGATGTATGGCGGCCAAACAACGTCTGACCAAAGGCCGCATAAAAGCCCGGCAAAAAAAGATGCAACACATAGCGCGGCTTTTGGAAATACCTGGCCAATCAGGGCCTCCGAGTCCTGCTTTTACAGGACAAGGATTGTACGGTGGGCGTAAAAACGTTAGACCGATGTTTGTTAGTAGTCGGTGTCCGGGGTTTGCTGCTCCGAAACGGGACAGTTCGCCAGGAGTTTTACACCGGACTAGTAGACTTCAGAACGATGTTAGTCCGTCTTCTAGTAATAGATCTAGAGATAGTTCTTTGGGTAGGGCTAAGTCTAGAGAAGGTTCACCTAGGATGCCCAGGCCTAGGTCCGAAGAGATTCCTCTAGAATTAATAAAGAAGACAACTTTAATTGATATGGCTCCAAAAATTAGTATCTTGCCTAGACCGCAAACACCTAGAATTGAAAATGAGCTGAGTCAAGAAAAAGAAGCTGCGCCAACTATTTTTATATCAGAGGAAACTTCTTTTATAGGTGATAGAAAGACAACAAATGACGGAGTGGAAACTATTTAAGTTTTAAAATAATAATTTATGTTTTTATTTATAAATAATTTGACTTTATGATGAAATAAATCACTTTTGACAGTTTTTTTATTATCAAGATGTCAGAAACAAGGCAAAGTGTTTCACATGTAAGCGTCGCAAAAATAAGGGAGAACTTGGAAAAAATAACCAAATCTGAATCGGCGGTAGTTAAGTTCCATAAACGCCTTAAAATTACTGGGTTTTATCATAGCAATGTGGCGGATGATGAGTAAGTTAATTCTATGTGATCTTTGTATTACACTGTTTAAGTCATTGTAAGGGGAATTTTGTTTGCAGCAACCCTCTATTAATTGCAGTATGCTGCTCTTATACCAACTACCAATTTATTTAGATTATCCTGTAGTGCACATTTGAATGGTCTGAATTTTAAGATGGCTCGAAGTACCTCTCACATAAAGAGTTTGTCTATTCAAGTCATTACTTGAGCAGAGCTTGAAAGTTTGATTTGCAATTTTACCTCCAGCTCAAAATTAATAGTTTACCAATGCATATCTGAGAAGATAGTATTATAGTAGACACTTCCAACCAATTAAGAATTCATGCTAAATATCATATTATATTTATCAATTCTTAGATCTGATGAAGCTATATTTTCTGAATGAATGCAATTATCTTTCAAGAGAATTTAATTCTGACAATGAAGGTTAAGGGAGGATACTAAAAACATGATAAATCCTTGTCAGAAAAAGGACCTTTCCAAATAAGCATAAGAGTGACTGTCTTTCTCAGTTTATAGCGTTTTCCTCTTAATGTCTGAAGTCAGTAGTAGTAATAGCACATTTTTCAGATCAGAAATATTCTTCCTTCTAACTCTTTGCTTTGTTGAAGCTCATAAGCTTTATCATGATTTTTATTGAATTTCCTTGATATCCAGACCCTTCTATGGAAGTGGAATGGGAGTCAGAGATCTTAGCGCCTGGAAAATTTGTATTTGATGAAGTCTTGTATTAGACATAGACTGAAAGTGTTTTGCAAAGTTTTCTCTTGCAGAAGACCATTCATAACTCATGATGGAGAAAGACTCATTATTTCTTTCAATATCTGGTCTTCAAGGTCTCCCACTATACCAATCCAGTTCTTATATTACAACTTACTCATTATACTTGAGGCTTTGAGATCACTATAGTCTACATATAAACTTCAATTAAGTATAAAAACTTCAAATATATTACTAAATACTTAATACTACATAGATCCAAAGTTCATCAAAGCTTCTTTCAAACTCTTCTTAGCCTCATCAGACTCCAACTTTATACAATACTCATCTGACTTTCTTTGCTGATGCAACTTAACAAAATTGAAACATTTCTTAATGGTAGCCCCAACATATAAAATATTAACACTGACTTGGCATGAGTCAACTTGGGTAATAAAGGGTATCGTACTGGTAATTAACTTATGAGGCCCGCTCCTGCATCTAATAATACCAATTCTGGTATAAGGATTTACATATTTGGCACTAAATCCTGCTAGTATTGCGGCCGCTCCAAAATCCCCGTGTAGTTGGTCAACTTTACCTTGTACAGTTTGGTTTAGGGCAGTTTGAGAAAGTTTGAAGGGATGGAGTGTATCGGTTTCATTTTGATCCCTTGGGTTTACTTCAATTACTATGTAACGGTTTTTTAGGCGAACCATGATTGCAAACTCTTATTTACTGGATCAGTCAATTCAAATTAGGTTAAGAACTAGTATACACACATTGTTGTCAAGTTTCCTTTGCCTACTTATTTTTTCTGGTTTTCTGAGTCAAGGTCTTTATTCTCCTGTCTTAATAAAGGCTTTATTCTATGTATACCTATATATTTGATCATTCTCACGTGAGAAGTCTTTACTGCTTTGTTGGAAGTCATACAACAAATATTTGTATTGAATTCCCTAGATTTCCCATGTTGTTTGTTCTTTATTTTTAATTTTAAAACTAGATTAGGAAATATGATTTAGAGTAAACTATAGTAAAATTATTTTAAACCAAAACTCTTATCTTTATACTGATAAGTCATCAGCATATTTTCACATACGACCCATCATCAGGCGATTTTTATATGCAACATAAATGGGTGATTGCAAAAAAAAAAAACGCGGTTAAGGTATTCCGTTTCGGTATTCACTACCAAATATGGGTAGATTTGTTCGGTTACGAAATATCGTTCGTCATTGTCGGTCGAGGTTTTCCCTTCGAATATAGATAGGAGAGAGCATGACATATGTTTTAGTTTTCGGTTTTTATATACCAAAATTTGATTTTATTCATTGGTACATTGTTTGTTTTAATAAACCACATTTTTATGTGTGACCTCAATGACATCATTCCATATGTTTGTCGAACCAAAAATAAGGCCTTACTAGTAGTGGTATCAATCAAACTATATACAACAAAACAATTAACGGAAAATCAATTTTTGATGATTTATTTTGTCTGGAATCTTGAATTATGTCGTAATAATTCGTCTTTGCCGCCCAGGGTCTGTGAAACTTCGGGCCAGAAAACAACGTTGTCTTGTTTCTGAAAAATGCCTTAGACTTGATACAATTTAGTACTTAGTTGTCAGTCTGTCGGCCAATATCATAAAATCATAAGTTTCTCTGAAGTCTTGGGTCATATTTTCTCATTTGCCCAAATTTCATCAAGGCATGATTTTAGGGATGGTATATGATATCAATTTCGTCAGCAGCAGTAATAGGTTGACCCTGGTTGTTTCATACATATTTATCACAGTAAAGTCGATTTCATTTAGTAACGTTGTCTCCACCTGAACATTAGGTATTTCCTCCAAATCCTCCAGCGTATTCCCTTATCTTTTACTGGACATACTTTTCCCCTAATATGGCTTTTCGTAATCGTAATGCCATAGAAAGGTTCTGGTCCAAGGAATGACGTTGCAGCTCCTTGTCTTGAAAGTTGGTTCGCTATTTCATTCGACTCTTTGGTGCCATGGTACTTATGACAGGGTGACTCATCTTCAGTTGCTATAGGAGCCGTTGACAGTTCCATACCAGTCTAGACTTGGAGCTTTTAAGACCAGTTTATCAGTGGACAGCTACCTATCTAGTTTAGCTGTCGGTTAACCAATGATAATTATTAGTTAACCAACAGCTGAACTACATACCCGTCCACTGATAAACCGGTCCTTAGTGCTTCCTGACTGTCGGAATCGGAAGCGCACAGTTCTATTGCGAATATGGTTGGGCTTTCTCCTAGGGTTGTTGATATTCTGATTATTGCAATTTTGATTTTCTATGTACCTAAATATGTCTCCTCAAATATCTAGTTTTTTGTCTATTAACGTAAGTATAAATAGTTACTTCTTTCAAATGGGGTTTCGCCCATTACAGGATGATTTACGTAGCCCATGCATCAGATTGCAGGTGGAATAGATACTATCTCTAGAAATAGTAATCCACCAATCCACCTGTATCTTCTAATAGCATCCATTTCAACTGATTCTACGTTCTAGGTGCCTCCTTCACATAGATATTTTGTTTTTATTTATATTAACTTTCAAGCCCCATTCTCAGTACCGTAAGGTGGGGTCAGTTGCAACATTTTCAAAATTCTTTTGCCGATACCTTCTTTATTTTTTTGTCGAATTTGACCTAATTGGTGCCAAAATTTTAGTCTTGTGGTCTAGTATCCGATTCTAACAAAAAACTTTGAACAACATTATTATTTGATATATATTTTTTAAAAAAACTGGGTGTTGCAAGTTGAACACCTGCAAGGGGATACTTGCAACAAGTGGCTTTTTTCAGTAGTATAATTGTATTTAGGAACGCGTGTTAGCTTACTTGTAACACAAAATATTTAAAAAAAAAAATTTTGGCTAATTTTGGCCAATTTTGGTCAATTTTGGCCAAAAATTGGTCTCCTTCCTTTGGAAATACATATATAAGTTTCTTCTTTTCCGAGAAAGAGTTGATGGGTCAATCCCGAATTCTCGCGATGCTTCCCGAATCCCTGATCCGTTTTCGATGGCCCTTAATGCATTTTCCAAAGTTTCGTTGGAATAATTACGGTAGGTCCTACTCCCTAACTGTTTTTTGTATTTGCGAGGCATGTTGCAAGTTACCCACTTTTGTACATGCAATTTAAAAAAAAATCTATTTACGAAAACCTTCAAACTTAACTCAAAACTAGATATTCAATGTTTTAGACTAAGCATTTAAGCACATCATATCTAAATTTGATACAAATCCTAGGGTAAATAAGCTCTGCACAGGACAAGTTATATTGCAACAATTTAGAGCAATTACCAGAGCTGTCAGAAAATGGCGCCAAATTTTTCGTGTTTAAAATTTTTCAACGCTAAACCTACTCACATTTCAACCTACTGATCCGTACTAAACGGTAACACGTTAGCGGTTGACGCGCGACTCAAGCGAGAGGAGGGGGAAAGCAAAAATTCCACCCGATGAATATTATTGCAAGTTGTGCCACTGTTGCAAGTACCCCCATACCTTAGGGTACTCTCCTATCAGCTTTCTAATCATATAATGCATGTCTTCTTTGTCACTGGTCACTATGACCTGATCATCTGCAAACTGAAGAGTAAACAGGCACCTATCATTTATCTCTATACCCATTCCATGAATCTTCCTCTTCCATTTTTTTATTGCTACTGTTACGTAGGAGAGATACAGCATCCTTGACGTAGTCTTTTATTCACTATAAATGTGTCTGTGAGATTTTTACCTCTATCTTGATTTTGAGTCTTTATATAGGTAGTTCTTTTAATAGGAGTGATTATTGTTGGATTGTTCTAATACCTTCCATAGTCTGGATACTGGAATTGCATCGTATGCCTTTTATAGGTCCACAAATGTGAGAGGGATTTCTAAATGTCTAGCAGATCTCTTTTCCATGACTTGTTTTAGGCAAATACGTTGTCTGTACGTGATCTTCCTGCTCCAAAGCCACACTGCTCTTCTTCTTCTTTCTTTTTATAATCTTCTTCAGTGAGATCACGCAGGATTGATATGAGACCTCTAAAGAGCTTCTCAGTTCGCCTTTTTAGCATTTCGAAGTATATTTCTTCTAAGCCGTTACCTTTTACCTGACTCAAGATTCTTAATAGTCTTTTTTACTTTTTCCTGAGATTTCTTAATTACTTCTCCATGTAGGTACTTCAATATGTCTTGGAGAATCTAATATAATTCCGGTCTACTTTCTTGTAATACACCCTTGTAGTGTTCTATCCAATGCTCTGGTTTGATAACCTGGATATTAGCTCTGTCCTTTTCTGGATTTTTGGCATTTGATATAAATCTCCATACCTCTGAGCATTGCCTTCCCCTTATGTAGGTATTAATTTCTTCACATTTCTTATCCCATGGCTCGCTCTTAGCTATAGTGAGTGATGCACAGTTTTAGTTGTCTTTTTGTGTCTTTAAAAACTTCAAGGTCTTGTTCTTCTTTTCCCCTAAGATCTCTCCGTAAACAGGGTAGGGTAACTGAAAATGTTAAATGACAAAGATTTCTGCAGCTCTAACTCGAGATATTCAAATCTCATAAGAACTTTGATAACAGTCGGTTTATCTTGATCTATTATCCTATGCGTACTGCTAAACACTTTTTCTACTCAAATCGTTTAAGCAATGCTGTCAATAAATCTAAGGAAACCTGGAATATTGTCAGAGAGGTCTTGATCACAAGAAATTGACATTGATCTTGAAAACTTGGACAGCTTTTATTGCTCGATCGCTGATAACCTTACTTCATCCATATCCATAAAAATATTTTGGAAACCTGCATGACAATGAATCTTTTTCTTTTTTCTCCACCAATATCCATGAAGTAAGATCCATTGAGTTCATAAGAAATCAGTCCATAGTCGGTTATTCAGATGGTATATTCACAAAAATCTTGAGGGAACTTCCGGACCTAATGGCAATCAACCGATTTTTTTCATCAGACACTTTTCCACTTAGTCTCAAGAATGCATTGGTATTAGTAGTACCGATACATAAGGGCGGGTATACAAAAGAGCCATCAAGTTATCGCCCAATATCATTTCTGTCAACAATATCCAAAGTTATAGAAAAACTTCTTAAAAAACGAATGATGGACTGATCAAAACATAATGTTGTCAACTCCGCCTTCCCATGAACAACTTCTTAAGCACTACAACGATATGTCTTTACTACCGCGAGGGTGTCCTGCTGTGACTTCTCAAAGGCCTTTGACTATATGTCACAGAATATTGTCAATCTAATTTTGAAACACCAGACCAGGGATTATAACATTGAAATGCAACTCAGCAGGAAAACACACTCTTTACTAAACAACCTATTTATACTCAGCAATATTTTAATATAAATACGACTAATGAAATGAACGCATCGTGAGGCAGACGTGTCTGGTTACGTAGCTTGTATCAGTCGGAGTTAGACACAGCTAAAATAGGGATCTATGTGATCAGATTGGGATGTGCGTATCTTAACTCTGACTGGGCAAATGCTTCGCCTAATGACCCAAGCTTCACGCTACGATACAGGCTTCCTAGCTTCCATTGTAGTACGGACTTGGTTTCCTAGTGATTAAATAGGTATAATCTGTGTTCAGGGGACTACAGGATATAAGGGTCAAGGTCATCCTGTTTGAGGATAAACAAGCAGGACTATAAACCGAAGAAGGAATGCATCTACATATTGTCATTGTTGTGGTAACACACATTTTGTTTATCATAAATATAGGTACTTTCAGTTAGCATTTCTGGTGTTTCTGTTATTCTTCCCTTTCTACTCAACCTTTCCAGGAGTGGTCACAAGAGATACACAGCGAAGCCCAAACCGGTATCGTGACAATATTCCTGAAAGAGTTAGGGGTATGCGGCTTTCTGGGGTATGAGCTTAGACTGCCTCGAATCATATCTTTTACATCGTAGTCAGAAGCGTGTCACCCGTAATAGTATATTATGATATAAGTGTATAAGAGGGCATTTAAAGCACGCGCGACATATTTCAAAACACGACGCGCAGCGGAGTGTTTTGTAAGTCGCAAGGGCTTTAAATGCCCTCTTATACACGCATATCATACGCTATTTTTTATTACGAATGCATCATAATCTCAAAAATGTTTTTAAAGTGTTCATTCATTTTGATAAGTAGTAATTTAAATGGCAGGTATGCAGGTAAATATCTAGGTAATGAAGGTAGATCGAACGTTTCTATAGCAAACCTTTGAAAAGGTAGACGCATCATAAACATCATTTTATGCACGCTGCAGCGTGCGATAATCGTTGATTATGATGCATGCGTAATAAAAAAATGTTTTTCTGATCAACCAATTTGACCACAAGTATCAGTTTTGGGACCAATATGATAATTCATAAAAATCAATGATCTTCTCTATCTTAATATATCAGTAGTCTTCGCTGCGTTCGCAGATATTTCAATGGTTGTGTGGCACGGAAGAAATCCGGATGAACTGGTCCAGGTGATTGTTGATGACCGTGAAGTGTTGTTGTGATGCCTAACTATAATAAGACTCAGATGCTCGGGTTCCGTTGAAATGTTACACTGATATTGATTGTGATCAGTTCTAAATCCTTTCTAAATAATACAAAGTTTCTTGACTTCAACTTGATGTTGATCTCAAATTCCAGTCCCATATCCCTGCACTTAAGAAGACACTTGCTTCTGATTGCCACAAATTTGAACGCAACTATTGCAAAATCAGTATTTTGCATTAATATACAACTCTAGGTGAGTATTTATGGTTTATCTATTGATTTGTGTTAAACGTCGCAAAAGAGATTTCGAGTAATTGGAGTCTGTCTTCTTCTTCTTCCAATGCGTATCCACTAAAGGATATTTGCGATAACATTTTCCATTATTGCTTCTCTATTCCTTGCGGTGTGTATTAACGACTTTTAATCAATTATAACACTTCACGTTGTTTCTAGACACGTCTTAGGACTTTTTTGTTTGTTAGTCTAGCTGTCGAAGGTATCTTTAAGAATTCTGCGATACAACCACATCTCGAAAGCCTCTAATTTGTTAATTGCAGTCACCTTTAATGTCCAACTAAAGAAGTACTGACCAAACGTAGCATTTAATGGATCTGAGTCTTAGCTAAAGGTCAAAATCGGAATAGGTAAACACTCTTCGAAACCTCAAGAATGTCTGTTGAGTTTGTTCAATGCGACATTTTGTTTCCTTGTCTAATTTCCAGTCTTCGCCCAAGTATTTAAATTTTTGTACTCTCTCTCTCTCTATTGGCCTTGCGTTAAATGTTATGGTGAAGTTTTCAAACATATTTGGGTTTTTAGCTAGAGATAATCATAAGCTTTGTTTTTTTTTGTGTTGATGTCCAAGCTCATTGATTTGCTCTGTTCTCCTACTTTGTTAACTAGTTGTTGTAGGTCGTGTATGTTATCAGCAATTAAGACTGTATTGTCAGCATAGCGGTTATTGTTCCATTAATTCTGACTCCCATTTTCACGTCTTCTAAAACCTCCTGGAAAATCGCTTCCGAATATAAGTTGAACAGAAGCGGAGACAGCACACATCCCTGTCGCACCCGTTTTCTAATCTGTATGGTGTTGGACATATTATTGCCTAATTTGATTTGCGCTGTTTGGTTCCAGTATAGGTTTTCAACGTCTTTCTGGTCTATATCAAGCTTTATTATTGAGGAGCTGCATTAATTTGTGGTGTATGTCCATTATCTCTGGGGACTGTATTGAGCAGTGCGGTCCGAGTATAGAACCAAAGTCCACGACAGATTCCAGTACCTAGTACTTTTGTTATAACAGTTCCCACACCTTTTCTATGTTTTGGATCGTCATTATCAGAGTAAAGGAATACTCCGTTATCCACATTGCGCCTTCCCACACGAGGCCAAAATGTTTCAGCCATATCCAGGATATTCAGTTTGAGTCTGCTCATTTCTCGTGTGAGGTTTGCCTGCAGTTTCCCGGCTTCGAATAGGCTTCTTACATTCCATATTCCGATCTTCAATGGTTTTCTTAGATTTGTTCTCATATTTGTTACATTTATTACAGTATATTTTGCATTAATACAACTGAACAACTCTACAGTTTATTTTTTTCCAAGATAGATTTTAACAATGACAACTTTGAAACATAAACAATGCCGCTTATTGGTCGAAAGATGCCATGTATCTGCACTCGACGAAAGTATCGTTTTCCAATCTTGTTAAAGGATACCTCACCTGCAGGGACGGACAAATTCAGCATTACATTACAAAACCACTAAAACCAGAAAATATTTGGGGTTTTCGCGATTATTTCTAGTCATGAGTTTTTTATGGTTACACACATTAAATGAAACTTTAAATTACACTTATAACACCTTGATAAACTCCGACTTTACGATAAAATAATGCTCAGCACAAACTCAACTATCATCTGTATCGGCGGCCATCTTGAAAGTTAGGAATGCAGAAGATGACGTCACAGCACCTTGTGAACAAATTTAGCCAATTGAGCTATCCTGTAGAGTTTACGATTCTTGTAAAATAACCACCATTTAATACATAATTTATTACAACAGTGGAAATAGAGGGCCCTTCTTATTAGTGTCAACTGTCAGAGAAAAAAAAATTAAAAACGCCTACTATTTACCTACATTGCAGATTCCTGTGATAATAATAACAATAATAATCTTTTGCGAATTTTTTCAAATTATTTCTAGTTTAAATTTTTACAAATCGTTACTACTAGTAATATAAATTAGTCGCGGCAACGTTGTAAATCGGTCGCGGCGGCTCGATCGGTAACCGACGGGCGTGTCCAAAAAGGACGGTTTTTCTGTTCTTTCGATTCTCGTCGTTTATTTTTTGACATTTCGCAGGCCGCGGTCGACCAAACACACGAGACGAGCGCGACGAGAGAGCGAACCCCAAAAATTAAAAGCCCCAAAACCGGTCCGCGATTACAAAAACCGTTTTAATTATTTGAAAAATAAACGCGATAATAGTTAAGTGCGTCCAATGAATACTTACCCACTGAGGTGACGTACAAACAAACAAAATAAACCAGACAAAAGACCTAAAAATTTAAGTTTAAAGTCGGGTGGTTATTCTCGAACCATGGCCGACACGGAAACCAAGGATCGTTACGATCCCGAACTAAAATATTTGTGTGTGGACAGGAACAATTACAACGATCCGGCGACTCAGGCCGAATGGACTCAGAAAAGGCTGGTGTGGGTGCCACACGAGAATCAGGGCTTCGTCGCCGCCTCGATCAAGGGCGAAAAAGGGGACGAGGTCGAGGTCGAGCTGCAAGAAACTGGAAAACGGACCACTGTGGCTCGGGACGATATCCAGAAAATGAATCCGCCCAAGTTCGATAAGGTCGAGGATATGGCCGAGTTGACTTGTCTCAACGAGGCCTGTGTCCTGCACAATTTAAAGGACCGATACTATTCCGGACTTATTTATGTAAGTATTTATTTATTAAGAAAAATCTCACCTAGATCAGAAATTTGCTCAGAATTCTTACCAGTACAAAATTGACAGCTTTTGTTTTAAAAGTGACATTATTATTAATCACTTTCCAATTAATTAAAATACCCCAATCAATTTTTTTAAAATTTGAATCTGGCAGTTTCCAGGATTCTCGAAATTTGAGGTTAGGCTTAGGAAAAAATGTCACTGCTGTCAGTTTTAATCAGTGCAACCCCAAAAAAAAAGCAAGGCCTACTTGGTTGTGAAATAAATATGGCTGCTAAAACAGTGGTCCTTTTGTTGTAGCTGGTATTTTTTTGGAATATTATTCAAATCCAAGAGCACTCTGGACATTTTTAGTTTCCAGACTCTTTGAAATTGAGGTTAGAGTGTACAACCCTACAACCCCCCAAAAAGACAAGGCCTACTAGTTAGTAAAATAAATATGGCTATCAAAAACTCTTGTTGTTACTTCTATTTTTTGGAATAATATTAAAATTCAAGGGCACTGTGAACATTTTCAGTTTCAAGAAGAAATAATGTCACTTCTCTCATTTTTTAATCAGTGGCAGAGCCACTCCCAAAAAAAACAAGACCTACTTGTTAGTAAAATAAATATGAAAATATGACTGCTAAACAGTGGTCCTCTTATTGTTACTGATATTTTTTGGAATAATATTCAAATTCAAGGGTACTCTGGACACTTCCAGCTTCCAAACTCTCTGAAATTGAGGTAAGAAGAACATGTCAATGGTGTCATTTTTTATTCAGTGCAACCCCAAAAAAACAAGGCCTACTTGACTTGTTAGTAAAATAAATATGGCTGCTAAAACAGTGGTCCTCTTGTTGTAACTGGTATTTTTTGGGATAATATTAAAATTCAATTGCACTCTGGACATTTCCAGTTTCAAGAAGAAAAAATGTCACTTCTGTCATTTTTCAATTAGTGCAACCCCAAAAAAACAAGCCCTACTTGCTACTAAAATAAATATGGCTGCTAAAACAGTGGTCCTTTGGTTATAACTGGTATTTTTTCGGAATAATATTCAAATCCAAAGGCACTCAGAACATTTCCAGTTTCAAGAAAAAAAAAAATCTCACTTCTGTCATTTTTCAATCAGTGCAACCTCAAAAAAACAAAGCCTACTTACTTGCTAAAATAAAATAAATATGGCTGCTGAAACAGTGGTTCTCTTGTTGTTACTGGTATTTTTTGGAATAATATTCAAATTCAAAGGAATTCTGGACACTTCCAGTTTCCAGACTCTCTGCAATTGAGGTTAGAAAAACATGTCACTGCTGTCAATTTTTATTCAGTTCAACCTCAAAAAAACAAGGCCCACTTTTTAATAAAATGAATATGGCTGCTAAAACAGTGGTCCTCTTGTTGTTACTTGTATTTTTTGGAATAATACTCAAATTCAAGGGCACCCTGAATATTTTCCAGTTTCCAGACTCTCTGAAATTGTGGTTAGAAAGACATGTCACTGCTGTCGTTTTTAATTCAGTGTAACCCCAAAAAAACAAGGCCTATTTGTTAGTAAAATAAATATGGCTGCTAAAACGGTGGTCCTCTACATATTTACTGGTATTTTTTGGAATAATATTCAAATTCAAAGGCACTCTGGCCATTTTCCAGTTTCCAAACTCTCTGAAATTGAGGTTAAAAAAAAAATGTCACTTCTGTCATTTTTTAATCAGTGGCAGTACCACTTTCATTTCAAAAAAAAACAAGGCCTACTTGTTAGTGATGTGAGTCGAGAATATTCCCATGCGAATATTCGCGAACATTGGGAAATTTCCGAGAATATTCGCCGATAAAAAATGGAAACGTTCTCCTGAATGAGAATATTCCTGGAAACTTTTAATCAAAAACTCTCAAAAGAATATTTCCGAGAACTTTCGAGAATATTTCCAAGAACTTTCCAGAAGAATTTTATAAAAATGCAAGATTATTGCGAATACAAGGTCTCAGTGGCGTCCTTTCACTTTATGTGGATGACGTAGCCCAGTTCAACTGTCTTTACGGAAACACTGATTCGATTTACCCGATCACCAGCTGATGTACCTACAGCCTACAGTTTGTCTTTTTTTAAAATAATCTTCATTAAAGAAAGATAAAAAAGAAAGAGCTAAGAGATTAGGTTAATCGGATCAGCTTTTCCTTTAAAGCCTTATTCAACCGTTCATAAAAGTGTTTTTACTAAATAGTTTAATTTTTAGCTGATTTTACAGAAAAAAATAGTGTTTTTCTTGGTTTATAGTTTATAGTCAGTACACTACAATAATAGGTAAATGAAACTTATTATTACGATTTGTCTGATTTAGCTATGAATTAAAAAAAAAACAATATTTCCATAAGTTCTCGGAAGTTTCCAATATTCCCGGAAAGTTTCCGAGAATGTTCGCGGCTTTTGAATGTTTCGGGAATTTTACATCACTACTACTTGTTAATAAGATGAATATGGTGGCAGTGGTCCTTGGTTTTTGCTGGTATTTTTTGCAATAATATTCAAATTCAAAGGCACTCTGGACACTTCCAGTTTCCAGACTCTCTGAAATTGAGGTTAAAAACACACATCACTGCTGTCATTTTTTATTCAGTATTCAGTGCAACCCCAAAAAAACAAGGTCTACTTGTTAGTAAAATAAATATGGCTGCCAAAACAGTGGTCCTCTTGTTGTTACTTGTATTTTTTGGAATAATATTAAAATAGGATACTTGCATGGAAAATTAAATTGATTATTGTTTATTGCAAACTGTAGGAAATCGAAAAAAAATCGTTACTTTTTTTTTATTTCGCCCAAATATGATTATTCTGGAAGTTATTTAAATATTAAGTTTTGTATATATAGATATACTGAGCATGTGCAACATCAATTATTTATTAGATAAGTGACATCATAGGCAGATTTCATAGTGTTGTATCTCCGTCAATTTTTGACTAAGAAGCAAAAGAAAAAACATGTGTTGACTTATTTTTCATGGACTATCGAAATCAGCAATAAAAAATTTGATGCAAGGAGCCTATTCAAGCGCACTGGACATTTTCATAGCGTTTTCTGTTGGTAAAACTCGTGCTGTCCGAGTTCTGCACTCAACACTGAATCAGTTCACGTTTAGTGCAATCCCAAAAGAACATGAATTTGGCGCGTTTTGTCATTCTTTTCAAATTTATTATTTAACGATCCCTGATCCCTAAACCTAACCTAAAGATATTTTCAATGGAATAAAAATTAAAAACGTTTGTGTGGTATGAAAAAGTTGAAAACGGATGTTTTTACCGGTGTGAAGTTAGCAGCCTTTTTGCAGCAGCCAAAAATGTGAAGTTAGCAGCCATTTGTAGCAGCCAAAATTGTGAAGTTAGCAGCCATTTTTTGGCAGCTCTTTTTTTTTTTAAATGGTTGATTTACAAATTTTGTGTACATTATCATTATATACCCTCGGGCAAAGTACAACAGAAAAACAAAACAAAAAACTACCCCTAATAAAACATCAAGTTAGAACATTAATATCTACAAAACAACTTTTCTAAAATAAAATATAACACCCTGAAATTTAGAATAGTCTTTAACATAGCCCTCAAGTACGTCTAGTTCGAAGAACAACCCCTCATTGCCGTCAGGCTGGGATCAACCCTTATTATTAAAATAATTGGAAAAGCTCATTTCGGGAGAGTGTAACACCATCAAACTCAGTGGGACGATCATCAGAACCATTTCTAACATTCCCACAAAGGACAACCCCTTACCTGCCGTCGGAGTGTGTTGAAAACTACCCTTAGTAAGAAAATGATAGAAAACATTTTTTTTCTATTATTTTCGTACTAAGGGTAGTTTTTAACACACTCCGACGGCAGGTAAGGGGTTGTCCTTTGGTGGGAATGTTCGAAATGGTTCTAGTTATCGTCCCAATCAAGTTTCAGAGCGTTACAGTTTCTCGAAATGTGTTTTTCCAATTTTTTTCTATTATTTTCGTACTAAGGGTAGTTTTTAAGACACTCCGACGGCAGGTAAAGGGTTGTCCTTTGGTGGGAATGTTCGAAATGGTTCTAGTTATCGTCCCAATCAAGTTTCAGAGCGTTACAGTTTCTCGAAATGTGTTTTTCCAATTTTTTTCTATTATTTTCGTACTAAGGGTAGTTTTTAAGACACTCCGACGGCAGGTAAGGGGTTTGTCCTTTGGTGGGAATATTCGAAATGGTTCTAGTTATCGTCCCAATCAAGTTTCAGAGCGTTACAGTTTCTCGAAATGTGTTTTTCCAATTTTTTTTCTATTATTTTCGTACTAAGGGTAGTTTTTAAGACACTCCGACGGCAGGTAAAGGGTTGTCCTTTGGTGGGAATGTTCGAAATGGTTCTAGTTATCGTCCCAATCAAGTTTCAGAGCGTTACAGTTTCTCGAAATGTGTTTTTCCAATTTTTTTCTATTATTTTCGTACTAAGGGTAGTTTTTAAGACACTCCGACGGCAGGTAAGGGGTTGTCCTTTGGTGGGAATATTCGAAATGGTTCTAGTTATCGTCCCAATCAAGTTTCAGAGCGTTACAGTTTCTCGAAATGTGTTTTTCCAATTTTTTTCTATTATTTTCGTACTAAGGGTAGTTTTTAAGACACTCTGACGGCAGGTAAGGGGTTGTCTTTTGGTGGGAATGTTCGAAATGGTTCTAGTTATCGTCCCAATCAAGTTTCAGAGCGTTACAGTTTCTCGAAATGTGTTTTTCCAATTTTTTTCTATTATTTTCGTACTAAGGGTAGTTTTTAAGACACTCCGACGGCAGGTAAGGGGTTGTCTTTTGGTGGGAATGTTCGAAATGGTTCTAGTTATCGTCCCAATCAAGTTTCAGAGCGTTACAGTTTCTCGAAATGTGTTTTTCCAATTTTTTTCTATTATTTTCGTACTAAGGGTAGTTTTTAAGACACTCCGACGGCAGGTAAAGGGTTGTCCTTTGGTGGGAATGTTCGAAATGGTTCTAGTTATCGTCCCAATCAAGTTTCAGAGCGTTACAGATTCTCAAAATGTGTTTTTCCAATTTTTTTCTATTATTTTCGTACTAAGGGTAGTTTTTAACACACTCTGACGGCAGGTAAGGGGTTGTCCTTTGGTGGAAATGTTCGAAATGGTTCTAGTTATCGTCCCAATCAAGTTTCAGAGCGTTACAGTTTCTCGAAATGTGTTTTTCCAATTTTTTTCTATTATTTTCGTACTAAGGGTAGTTTTTAAGACACTCCGACGGCAGGTAAGGGGTTGTCCTTTGGTGGGAATATTCGAAATGGTTCTAGTTATCGTCCCAATCAAGTTTCAGAGCGTTACAGTTTCTCGAAATGTGTTTTTCCAATTTTTTTCTATTATTTTCGTACTAAGGGTAGTTTTTAAGACACTCCGACGGCAGGTAAGGGGTTGTCCTTTGGTGGGAATATTCGAAATGGTTCTAGTTATCGTCCCAATCAAGTTTCAGAGCGTTACAGTTTCTCGAAATGTGTTTTTCCAATTTTTTTCTATTATTTTCGTACTAAGGGTAGTTTTTAAGACACTCCGACGGCAGGTAAAGGGTTGTCCTTTGGTGGGAATGTTCGAAATGGTTCTAGTTATCGTCCCAATCAAGTTTCAGAGCGTTACAGTTTCTCGAAATGTGTTTTTCCAATTTTTTTCTATTATTTTCGTACTAAGGGTAGTTTTTAAGACACTCTGACGGCAGGTAAGGGGTTGTCTTTTGGTGGGAATGTTCGAAATGGTTCTAGTTATCGTCCCAATCAAGTTTCAGAGCGTTACAGTTTCTCGAAATGTGTTTTTCCAATTTTTTTCTATTATTTTCGTACTAAGGGTAGTTTTTAACACACTCTGACGGCAGGTAAGGGGTTGTCCTTTGGTGGGAATGTTCGAAATGGTTCTAGTTATCGTCCCAATCAAGTTTCAGAGCGTTACAGTTTCTCGAAATGTGTTTTTCCAATTTTTTTCTATTATTTTCGTACTAAGGGTAGTTTTTAACACACTCCGACGGCAGGTAAGGGGTTGTCCTTTGGTGGGAATGTTCGAAATAGTTCTAGTTATCGTCCCAATCAAATTTCAGAGCGTTACAGTTTCTCGAAATGTGTTTTTCCAATTTTTTTCTATTATTTTCGTACTAAGGGTAGTTTTTAACACACTCTGACGGCAGGTAAGGGGTTGTCCTTTGGTGGGAATGTTCGAAATGGTTCTAATTATCGTCCCAATCAAGTTTCAGAGCGTTACAGTTTCTCGAAATGTGTTTTTCCAATTTTTTTCTATTATTTTCGTACTAAGGGTAGTTTTTAACACACTCTGACGGCAGGTAAGGGGTTGTCCTTTGGTGGAAATGTTCGAAATGGTTCTAGTTATCGTCCCAATCAAGTTTCAGAGCGTTACAGTTTCTCGAAATGTGTTTTTCCAATTTTTTTCTATTATTTTCGTACTAAGGGTAGTTTTTAACACACTCCGACGGCAGGTAAGGGGTTGTCCTTTGGTGGGAATGTTTGAAATAGTTCTAGTTATCGTCCCAATCAAATTTCAGAGCGTTACAGTTTCTCGAAATGTGTTTTTCCAATTTTTTTCTATTATTTTCGTACTAAGGGTAGTTTTTAACACACTCTGACGGCAGGTAAGGGGTTGTCCTTTGGTGGGAATGTTCGAAATGGTTCTAGTTATCGTCCCAATCAAGTTTCAGAGCGTTACAGTTTCTCGAAATGTGTTTTTCCAATTTTTTTCTATTATTTTCGTACTAAGGGTAGTTTTTAACACACTCTGACGGCAGGTAAGGGGTTGTCCTTTGGTGGGAATGTTCGAAATAGTTCTAGTTATCGTCCCAATCAAGTTTCAGAGCGTTACAGTTTCTCGAAATGTGTTTTTCCAATTTTTTTCTATTATTTTCGTACTAAGGGTAGTTTTTAACACACTCCGACGGCAGGTAAGGGGTTGTCCTTTGGTGGGAATGTTCGAAATAGTTCTAGTTATCGTCCCAATCAAATTTCAGAGCGTTACAGTTTCTCGAAATGTGTTTTTCCAATTTTTTTCTATTATTTTCGTACTAAGGGTAGTTTTTAACACACTCTAACGGCAGGTAAGGGGTTGTCCTTTGGTGGGAATGTTCGAAATGGTTCTAGTTATCGTCCCAATCAAGTTTCAGAGCGTTACAGTTTCTCGAAATGTGTTTTTCCAATTTTTTTCTATTATTTTCGTACTAAGGGTAGTTTTTAACACACTCTGACGGCAGGTAAGGGGTTGTCCTTTGGTGGGAATGTTCGAAATGGTTCTAGTTATCGTCCCAATCAAGTTTCAGAGCGTTACAGTTTCTCGAAATGTGTTTTTCCAATTTTTTTCTATTATTTTCGTACTAAGGGTAGTTTTTAACACACTCTGACGGCAGGTAAGGGGTTGTCCTTTGGTGGGAATGTTCGAAATGGTTCTAGTTATCGTCCCAATCAAGTTTCAGAGCGTTACAGTTTCTCGAAATGTGTTTTTCCAATTTTTTTCTATTATTTTCGTACTAAGGGTAGTTTTTAACACACTCTGACGGCAGGTAAGGGGTTGTCCTTTGGTGGAAATGTTCGAAATGGTTCTAGTTATCGTCCCAATCAAGTTTCAGAGCGTTACAGTTTCTCGAAATGTGTTTTTCCAATTTTTTTCTATTATTTTCGTACTAAGGGTAGTTTTTAACACACTCCGACGGCAGGTAAGGGGTTGTCCTTTGGTGGGAATGTTCGAAATAGTTCTAGTTATCGTCCCAATCAAATTTCAGAGCGTTACAGTTTCTCGAAATGTGTTTTTCCAATTTTTTTCTATTATTTTCGTACTAAGGGTAGTTTTTAACACACTCTAACGGCAGGTAAGGGGTTGTCCTTTGGTGGGAATGTTCGAAATGGTTCTAGTTATCGTCCCAATCAAGTTTCAGAGCGTTACAGTTTCTCGAAATGTGTTTTTTCCAATTTTTTTCTATTATTTTCGTACTAAGGGTAGTTTTTAACACACTCTGACGGCAGGTAAGGGGTTGTCCTTTGGTGGGAATGTTCGAAATGGTTCTAGTTATCGTCCCAATCAAGTTTCAGAGCGTTACAGTTTCTCGAAATGTGTTTTTCCAATTTTTTTCTATTATTTTCGTACTAAGGGTAGTTTTTAACACACTCTGACGGCAGGTAAGGGGTTGTCCTTTGGTGGGAATGTTCGAAATGGTTCTAGTTATCGTCCCAATCAAGTTTCAGAGCGTTACAGTTTCTCGAAATGTGTTTTTCCAATTTTTTTCTATTATTTTCGTACTAAGGGTAGTTTTTAACACACTCTGACGGCAGGTAAGGGGTTGTCCTTTGGTGGGAATGTTCGAAATGGTTCTAGTTATCGTCCCAATCAAGTTTCAGAGCGTTACAGTTTCTCGAAATGTGTTTTTCCAATTTTTTTCTATTATTTTCGTACTAAGGGTAGTTTTTAACACACTCCGACGGCAGGTAAGGGGTTGTCCTTTGGTGGGAATGTTTGAAATAGTTCTAGTTATCGTCCCAATCAAATTTCAGAGCGTTACAGTTTCTCGAAATGTGTTTTTCCAATTTTTTTCTATTATTTTCGTACTAAGGGTAGTTTTTAACACACTCTGACGGCAGGTAAGGGGTTGTCCTTTGGTGGGAATGTTCGAAATGGTTCTGATGATCGTTTCACTGAGTTTGATGGTGTTACATTTTTCCGAAATGTGCTTTTCCAATTATTTTAATAATAAGGGTTGATCCCAGCCTGACGGCAATAAGGGGTTGTTCTTCGAATTAGACGTACTTGAGGGCTATGTTAAAGACTATTCTAAATTTCATGGTGTCACATTTTATTTTAAAAAAGTTGTTTTGTAGATATTAATGTTCTACTTGATGTTTTATTAGGGGTAGTTTTTTGTTTTGTTTTTCTGTTGTACTTTGCCCGAGGGTATATAATAATAATGTACACAAAGTTTGTAAATCAACCATTTAAAAAAAAAGAGCTGCCAAAAAATGGCTGCTAACTTCACAATTTTGGCTGCTACAAATGGCTGCTAACTTCACATTTTTGGCTGCTGCAAAAAGGCTGCTAACTTCACACCGGTGATGTTTTTCCTGTATATAATAGCTATTTATATTGGGTCTTCAAAAAAAAAAACCAATCGAAGATTGCTTTGATTACGAAAACGTACGTCGCATTACTGTTTCTTTATTGGTCAGGATATTTGACATGACATTTTGACATTAAAGTTCATTGACAAAATTAAAGACAAATATAGCTAAGACATACGTTTAAAAAATCATAGCAATCTTTGATTGGTTTTTTTTTTTGAAGACCCGATATAACAAGTACATAAAGTAAGGCTTTATTGTACGAATAATTTTATGGCCGAGCGGGCTTGCGAGCGAGGCTATTAAATAATGAGTCAATAAAGCCTGTTTATGTAAGCGTTATATATATACATGATTTTATGTACGATTATAACTGGTTTTTGTTAAAAATTTTACCTACGAGCGTCCGGTAAAGTGAACTTTACCGCACGTATTTGCAAATGGAAAGTATCACTTTACCGCACACTATGCGGTAAAGTGCTCTTTACCGCATAGTGTGCGGTAAAGTTAACTTTACAGCATAGTATGCGGTAAAGTAGAATCAAAGTGTGCGGTAAAGTGCACTTTACCGCATAGTGTGCGGTAAAGTAGAATTTGATATTTATAATCAAAAATCCTCTCTTTTTCAGAAAATGGATTTTTGATCATTTCTAAATCTTATCTAATTTCATAAATTAATCTGATTCATTAATTAATTTTATAAATGCCTTTTTTTGGAGATGTAGATGCTCATAGGTAAAATTTTGTACCTAACACATGCGGAAAGTGCCTTTACCGCCCTTAACGGCTTGACCGAACTCCGCTTCGCGTCGTTCGGTCAACTGCCGTTGCGTGCGGTAAAGTATCACTTTCCGCATTTGTTAGGTAAATAACTAAAAAAAATTTAATGAAAAAAGTAAAATTTGCGTACGTATACCTGTTTCACCTTGGCAGGTTGTCAAGACCTGTTTCACCTTGGCAGATTGTCAGGACCTGTTTCAACTTGTCAGGTAGTCCAGGTAGGCAATAAAGTAGCACTTTATTTTACTAGTACAATAAAGTGCTACTTTATTGACGTAAAACTGTTCTATAAATAACACTTTATTGGTCAATCGGACATAAAGTACATAATTATGCTGTCTCCCGAGATGTGCAGAAATAATTCCAATGATACCTGTGTTGAAATTAATTTTTATGTCAATTTCAATAATAAAATTTTGAATTTTTGGTTGGTATCTCGTTATCCCTGGCAAACATTCAGGCCTATGATGTATCCTGTCCTGTTATTTCAACGTCTGTGTTAAGGCTCAACATCTATTTCTGTCTCTATTTTGACGTTGCTGTTGAAATAACAGAAAATGATACATCATAGGCCTGCAATTGCAGATAATAATAATAGGTCTGTTTCTGCAGAAATCACAAACCAGTCAGGGTAAATTTCATTGGTTGAAAACAGTCAGAAAACTAGTTTCAACCAATGAAATTCACTCTGACTGGTTTGTGATTTCTGCAGAAACAGACCTAATAATTCTTCCTCTTCATCGCTGTCGCTCGACGAAGATAAAAAATATAGAATTTTATCAATATCGATATCCATAATTTTTTGGTTTTGTTTATACACAGACTTTTCAGCACTTTACGCCATCTTTGTTGTGCCCTGACATTGGCACGAGCTCTCTGACCTCGTGCTGGAAAAGTTGCACGAGGGCAATAATTGATTGCCCTGGTTTTCCAATAGAACATAAAAACCCGCTCGGAAACTGCCAACAGAACATAATTTTTGCATAAGTGCAGCACGAGTACACTGCTGTCATTTTTTATTCAGTAATCAGTGCAACTCCAAAAGAACAAGGCCTACTTGTTAGTGAAATAAATATGGCTGCCAAAACAGTAGTCCTCTTGTTGTTACTTGTATTTTTTGGAATAATATTCAAATTCAAGGGCACCCTGCACATTTTCCAGTTTCCAGATTCTCTGAAATTGATATTAGAACAAAATGTCACTTCTGTAATTTTTTTATCAGTGGCAGTACCACTCTCATCTCAAAAAAAACAAGGCCTACTTGTTAGTAAGATGAATATAGTGGCACTGGTCCTTGGTTTTTCCTGGTATTTTTTGCAATAATATCCAAACCCAAATCAATCAATTTTTATTTTGTTTGAATTTGGCAATTTCCAGATTCACAAAATTTGTAGTTAGAAAATGTCACTCTGCTATTATTTATTAAACAGTGCAACCCCAAAAAAAACAAGGCCTACATGGTTAAATTAAAAAGAAAAATGTTCTGCAAAAAGAATTGTTACAAGAAAGGAAAACTATGAGTTTTGCTAACGTAACTGCAGGTAGTCCAAGTCTAACCAAGGCTGAAAATATACCTGCAATTATTGCTGAAGTTCGCAACAAAGAATGTACTAGAAAATTTACTGATCAAATAAAAAGTGTTATAAAAAACAAAGCTAGTCAAGTACCTCTCGAACTAGTAAGTAGTAAACATAGTAGTAATAGGATTATAATTAAGTGCAAAAATAAAGAAAATGTAGATAGCATACACACAATACTTAGCACTGCTGCTAATGATATGTTTAAGGTTAAAATTGAAAAAAAGAATGATCCTTTATTAAAAGTTGTAGGAGTGGAAGTTGATTTCACTGACTATGACGATATTAAAAATGAAATAATCACCAAAAATAACCTAAATGACAATCATTCTATAGAAATTAAGTATATTTAGGGCCGATACTTTTGCTCTCGATTAACGAATTTGATACGTTGTCAAAATTTTGCATGGGCCAAGGTCTAAAAAGTATGATGTGGTTAGAGCACATTCTAACCCCTGATTATTTTTAACGGCTGTTAAATGAGAGCAAAAGTACCGGCACTTATAGTACCAAAAAACAAACAAAAACAATTATCATGCAAGTAAATGCTGAGGCTTACAAATTTTTAATACAGGAAAAAAAATCTATATAGGTTATAGGAGATGTATGATCTATGATGAATTCAATATGCAACAATGACAGAAGTGTGCTTACTTCGGGCACAGCACAATTAAGTGTCGAAATAATGCCAAATGTTTTAAATGTGCAGGGGAACACCTCACGAAAGACTGTGATAAGGTAGAAATTGTATGTATAAATTGCCTAATGGCTAATAAAAAACTAGAAAATAAAACAAACACCAACCATACTGGAAATGATATACAGAATTGTGAATCTTACAAAGCAATGATAGGGAAAGTTATTGAGAAAACAGATTACCCAATAAAACCTATTTTAAAATAAAATCAATGGATTTTACAGGAAATCTTGAAATAAATGATTTTACAGCACTTAATGAGGAAATTGTTGGCAGCAAGCTGATAATTTTCCATACCAACATTAGAAGTTTAAATAAAAATGTCGATGAGCTTTGGTTGAATTTGAACAGAATGCAGACTAAGCCACACATTATTATATGTACTGAGACTTGGACTTTACAAAATGAAGCTTTTTACCAAATTGATGGGTATAGAAACTACTACAACAATGGTCAAATAAACAAGGCAGATGGAGTCATGATTTATATTGATACAAATTTGATTGAAAATACTAAAATGGTACATATTGGTGAGATCACAGCATTACAAACAACTATATTTTGTAACAAAGAAACTTTTTTTATTACATCAATATATCGATCACATGACACAAATATGCACAACTTCATTACAAACTTGGAAAAATACCTAGGATCATTTAAAAACAATGACACACATTACGTTTTTGGAGATACGAATTTAGACATTCTGAATCCAGATTTATGCGGTGATTTATACCTCAACAATTTCTACGAGAAAAAATATGTCCCATTGATATCTTCCATTACGAGGCCAACTAGTGACGGTGGTTCCTGTATTGATCACATTTTTGGGAACAAATTCGAGAATGTTAAGTCAGTTGTTTTGAAAGAAATGATTACTGACCATTGCCCAACCATTCTACTGTTAAAGGATTCATGTGATGGTGCCATTGAAAAAAACTGTGATTTTGTTGATTTTCAAAGATTAATTTCTCTTGCTGCAAACCGACAGTGGAACAACTTAG